TATTATTGTTTAAACTCATTGTAGTGTCTACAACAAAATATAATGGTGATATACTGATATCCAATATGATATATTATTTTAATTTTTTTAATAAATCAATGCCGTCATAATATATTATATTATTACTAGACCAAAACTTAAGTTCATACTTAGGTAGGTTTATACGGATATGCATATTTCCGAGAGAAAAGATATTCTGATTAATATAATCATAATGGTATGTGTGTATATATAAGTAAAATTATAATAATAATAGCTGTATGTACAGTAATACACCAGACGAGAGGTAGTATTTAGTATGCATGCCGCCGCCACCGCAGTAGTCGTTGTTATAAATTCCAAAGTTTCCACCGGTAATTGTCTCTAATATATCCCCCGGAGTAACCTATACATACACCTAATATATTGCATAGGATGCATTATCACCTGTTTTTTTTTTCTACCCCACCGCACATTATATGATAAAATCACCTGTTACTACAATTAAAGTCAAATTCGATAACTCGTTATTAAAAGTCATTAAGCGGACGGTTTGCATTTGCTCCAACGGCCGCGCAGGTGTCTTGAGCTCTCTCTCGTTCAAACAAACAACCACAAAAAACAAAAACCGAAAATGACCACTTGTAATAATTATATACTACCTACCCACACATTCGACCCATTTATCTTTTGTGTAAATCACCGTGTTTAACCTTATGACAATATTTGATTTTTTTTCGTGCTAAAAAATTACTGTAAGTACATACAATTATTATTAAATTGTTGTTTATTAGGTCGTATATTTTTATTTTTTTTGTGCTTTACGTTCACACCTTATCTTTTCTGTTGCAATTCTGTATACGGTACAATCGTTTTGACGTTATTCACATCCGTAACGTGTTTATTATTAATTTTTAAAAATCAAACGTTATTTTTTTCAATTTTTTTTACAATGCACCCGTATATTATGTTTAATTTGTATGCGAAACCTATACATTTCTTCTGTGTATTCGATATTGGAATCGTTAACCCGTACAGTTAGTACTCAGGAGTGATTCTCGATTATTTTACAGTACCTTTAACCAAAAAAAACGTCACGACAACAAAACGATACTTTTCCGAAGGACGCAAAAGCACCTGTCTACCGTCAGTGCCTGTATAATAGTAGCAAAGTGTATAAATATGTAGAATGTAGATGTTAGTGCAAAAATTAAAATACTGTTTTTGATTAATATTATTTACTGCCAATATGACCGTGGCGTTTATAGCAAATGGTAGTTTATAATATGAACGAGTAACGACAGGAAATAAAATCATATTTATTCATTGTGAATGCTGTTGTATGTACTATGTACACGAGTTGTTCCTTTACGACTGTGTCATGTATATATAAGTATAATATTTATGTATACATTTCAAAAATCGTAAAAACGATTGACTTCATTTCGGCTTGTACATATCAAAGTTATGTAAATGTTTTCTACATATCTGTTATATTGGTCGTTGTTAAACATGAGTTGTATAATCGTTCATATTTTCCCAATGTACTTAGAATTTTTTTAATTGTCCCGTAAGTTTATTACTTATTTTGCAACGTCAAACTATTGGGTTTTATTCACCGTCTTGCGCGTGAAAAATTATTAAAACGCATTTTGAAACACGTATAACTTATAAGTTATAAGTTTATAGTTGTTATAACTTAGAAGCGTTCGATGTAAATACCTGAAAAATATTTCAAAATAAATTAGCAGTGCGCGCATATTTTATAGCTTAATGTTCTAATTTATATGTGCAGTATACACTTATGTAAGAAAAACACATGTCGTTAAATTAAGAAATGCAAAAAAACAAAAACATCTGTCAAAAGACATAACTATTCCACTCAAGTTTTAAATAATATTATCTGGTTTAATAAAGTATACATAATATAATAAAGTGATCCGTCATATGCGCTATCGTTACTTAAACATGCATTATGGTTTTGATTTGCGTATGTATTTACTACGGGGCACGGGCCATAGTTTGTGTTACTTTTCGGCAGAACGAAACGTTTTGTATAGGTAACATTACCTATCAATTATTACTATTATTATTGAGCACAGCCGCGCTTGGACACAACAACGTATTTTCACCGCGAATACAAATTAAATTCTACTTACGTTTGCGAAAACTGTTTTCTCTCGACAAAGGCTTTATATAATAATATATTATTATAATAAGTACGTATTATACACGTAGGTACATTGTGCGCCCTGCGCGTCGTCGTCCTTTGTGAATTACTCGCCGCAATTGTACGCGGTAAACATTTCGAATTTTCGATTCGCATCTCGTGCAGGCTCTCGGCGGCTTCCGCTAAATATTAGTGTACACACGCGGATTATATATACAAATACAATGATATAGTATTATTATTATTATTATGTACAGCGCAGCAGCATGAATAATAATAATAGTAATAATAACGTATACCTACCCGGTGTGTAATCTTATTATTACTATTATACTTCTACCGAATCGTTGACGAATTTTGAATAACCGCGTCTAAGTGTGCCGCGGTCGCTTTCATGTTCCCGAGACGATCGGGTGTGCGCACAATATAACAGTCGGCGCATCGTACACACCGCGGTCGTAGGTATACGATATAGTATTATTATATATACTGTGCGTATATTATTGTGTGATCGACAACAACACACCCACGCACCGCTGCAGTGTCTCGTACGAATTGTAATCCCGTTTAAACCGCGACCGCACGTTACTGTAGCAGCAGCAGCAGCAGCAGCAGCAGCAGCATCTACTCGTACCTATACATTTAAGTCGTATACAGTAGCATGTGCGCGTATACATGTGTTTATATCGTTTTCGGCGTACATTTGAAGATCGTCGCGCCGATATCATCCCCCATTCATATACACAATATTATAACAACTCGTCGTCGCCCATTGTCGGCGCTATGCGATATCGTATACGTATCTGCAGTTTTTAGCCGCGACACGCTTTTGTGTTCCGCAAACGCGGTGCGTGTGTGCACCGAAATCCGCTACCGCGAATGGAAAAACAAAACCAAAAAAAAATACGACGACCCCTCGTCCCAGCTCTTATTTTCTTTTTCCGCGCCGAGTGTCATCGCGCACACGGGGCGCTGAACTCCAATGGCACCGCCACGAGGAAACGAAACCGACAAAGGTCGGTTATATATTAAACCGTAAGTGTGTTCGTGTCTATATATATATATATATATATATATATATATATAGGGCGCATCGTGGCGCGTTGTGATTTTGCGTTCGTCTTTGAGAATTCTCCGTTTCGTTAAAATGGTATAAAATCCGCTTAAAAAATTATGTCCGTCGTTTATTGTGTCTGTATGACATGTACACTATCGTCTCTCGTGTCTGTGTGCGAGTGAGTGTACCTATTATATACATTATTATGTATAAATATATATATATACGTGATCCGATGCTGCGCCACAACGAGACCAGTTTGCGGAGGAAGCAATAAACCACCGCGCGTTCAGCCGGTTATCTCTCGGCAGTCAGCACTCTATTGTATATATTATATACCTGTATATTATAATGTACGTTGACGCACACACGTTTATATATATGTGCGTACTTACGACCGACCGTCCGCGGGGATAAAAATCGTACAGATTTATCGGGCCCGGTTCGTACAGGTACACAGGGAGGGCCGCACTCGATTTATTGAGATCCGTTCGGGTCTTCGGGAGGTCTGCGCGAATTGTGTGCGGCTGTGTATACGCTATACGGGTATATTGTGTATGTGTGTGTGTGTGTGTGCACTAGTCGTAACTTTTGTGAATCGAAATTCAACACCGAAAATTTACCACCTCGTCGTCGTCTAAATTAAACCGTATAAATTACGTTTTTTCCCCTCTCGTGTAATGTACAATGTACATAAATGTATTTATATATATTCTAAATGTTAAACCGTATTGGAAATCGTAGGTATCTATACCGTGTAGTATTGGAATCACGGACGGATAAAATATAAATAAATCGTGTGTATTTTAAGTCTGATATTATATAAACTAAAAAAAAAAAAATTAAAAAAAAAATGGTAAATGAATGGTTCATGAAGCAGTTTTTTTTTTAATTCACGCTATATTATACATTGAATGATCATCTATACAGTTCGATTTGAATACATATATCTTTTCAGTGCGTGCACGCGTTTAAAATACATAATACGTGTGACAACGTTTTATAGTATTTGATAAAATACGATTGGTAATATTATTATCTAAAAACGTGTCGTCCTGCAGCTGACTTTAATTGAATTTTCTACGTAGTCGTATTTTGCGTGTCGTGTGTTGCTAAGACGTTTTAATTATTCGAAAATATTTTATTGCTCGGCATGTAGTATAGCGTATGTTACACTACGGCTGTTATACCCGCGTGTATGACTTGTTGCTTAGTGCATTTAATTGCACTCGCTCTGCAGAGAAAACTAGTTACGTAATATAAATTGCATTTTAGGGGATATTAACGGCGTGCAATTTGCTACAGATGATAGCCTTGTGATTTACTGGTCGTGCTTAATTGTGCGGGTGAAAAGCACACGATGCAAATGCACATTCTGACCGCAACAGTGCAGCCATAATATAATATACAACAGGAAGCAATGTTGGGTGCCATAATTTGTACGTCTATTACATTTTAGGGGTGTAAGAATTTAACACTATGTATTGCGCGTTATGTGCATAATGCACACAATTTATTGTACACGTTTAAGGGGCGTTGCAGTAAATTTAGTATTTCGAATTTCATTTTAAAATGTCAAATAAATCTCAAAGTAACTCGATTTCCTATTTTCCCGTTTAATATATGCATCGTGTTTCTCTGCTTCCCATCACGCTAATTTTAGGCCATATTGCACAACATGCAATATACATATTATTATTATTATTATTATTATTATTATCTATATATTATTTGTATTATCACATATTGTTATAACTAGAATTTAGAACTGAAAATCATTATTCAAGTGAATATTTATGTTGCGTGTTCAATTTTTCTTGTACATTTAATCAATTTATTACTGTTCGGTATTTTATAATCGTGAGCTCTTGGCGTTTTATTTGACTCAAGCAATTTTGCTGGTGTCGGTCCTATAAGTTTTAAATTCGGATGGCTTGTATGATATGAGGTTGTATAAGTGGTGTGACTTGTAATGGGCATTGCGGACCTTATCGATTCGTTGACAAAAGCACGTCTAGGGCAGATATCAGCCTTTGCTTTGGAGTCAAAATTACACGGTGGTGGTTTGTAACTCGCTCGGTGCACTGATGTCGTTTCCATCGGTACCGATGATACTATGTAAGAACTCGAAGGGCGTCGCCAAAGTTTCATCATAACAGGATGGCGGTACGCATTACCGGTAGATGTTTCCACTTCCATTGGAACGTGTTTTAGCGACCGTCGGACTGGAGGTGTGACCGGTCGAGCTGTAAAAAATAATATTTTTAACGATTTATTAGTGACATAATTACACATATAATTATTATAACACTGTAAAAGTTCGTTGTTGTCGCATCTCTGTCCATGTACCTAGTATTATACTGTAATATATTGTTATTACGCTCAATTTTATGACTTGATCATATGCAAGAATAAACATCTGTATTGTACTTATATTATAGGTTTAAATATCAGCCTATCACTATTTAATAATATATAAGTCTTCTGTTTACTAAATTTGTAATTTTTAGAATTCATAGTACGTTTTATGTATTGGGAGATCGCACATTTTCGGGTATTTTAAGGTTTTTAAGGAAAGATGTACTCGTGATTTTTTTTTTTTTTTGTCTTATAGAACCTTCCTTTATCTATTGTTTAATGTTAAGTTTAAAAATAAATTTTACTCAGTAAATATTTTGTAGCAATATTGAAACCGTGTGCTCAAATCACTATTTTTCTCATTATTGCATGTACCTACTTATAATATATAATTATAGTTAAACGCGAGTGACAAATAGAATGAATAATATTTTATATACCAATTTTAACGCTGTTCAAAATGATCATAAAATTTTTAATTATTTACATATCTTGTATATTAATATAAAATGTAATTTTTTATGTATGTAACGTATAAACGCTCCGCATCCGAATTTAATACAATCACCTGGTTCTGAAATTTGTTATATAGGTATTCTTATACCCGAAGATTTGTACTTCGAAGCCAATTTTTTTAAATTTTGCATTATAATGAATGGCTCACACTGTAGGATATTTATTAGTCCACAAAAAACGAATAATTTTTTTGTTTGTATTATGGGTTGCTATTAGTCTTATTTATAATTTTAGACCCGTATTTTATATTTAATCAAAACTACCCAAATAACTGTGTTAAAGATATGCACAAGCATGTAAATTACATTAAATGTAATTTAAGACAAAGTAAATCCACTGACATTTAAGTTGTCACAGCAACGCTGTGGTAGTGCAGAAACGGATATTATAGTACTACTGAAGTAAAATATATATTAACTTTGTTTATGTCAAAGATTAGAGTTAATGCGTTTTTTTGCGAATTGTAAATAATACTATATAATATGTATCTAATGAATGTATAAAACTAATGACCGCTTGTTTCCTAAGTTCTCTGTATGGAAGCAGAAGGGGAGGAGGGTCAAATACACGGTTTCTACTGAGTGCAATTATTACCGCGGTGCAGTCCTTCTTTTACCGGGTAATGCATTTTGTACGACGTATAGTTAAAACGGTCAATACCGTCTCCGTCCAGGAATCCGTGGTCTTGAGGTGGTTTCAACTTAATCGGTTTCTGAGGATCTCTTACCCGATATGCTTCCCGGTGTGCAGTGATGACGACCGAAGGAGCGAGCGTCCTTTTCACGGGAGTCCGGCAGCGGCGCACCGGCAATGGGAGGGGAATTGGCCGGTAGGAAGCACTGTACACAGTCAACTGTTCCATGACCGCACTGACCCCGTTCGGTGCCATAATTTTCAAACGATATTCTTTAAGATGCAGTTAGAACATTCATGTAATGACTTTATATTTTACGGATAGGTCTAAGTTTCTCTAAGGTAACAATAATATTGTGATATTATTATGCGAGTATACTTACTTGCTGTCAACTAGTTTACTATCGCCGAGGTAACCACGTTACAAAAACTTCTGCAAAAAACTCGTTGAAAAACGTTCATCAGTGATATCCATGAGATATAAATAATTGTAGATAACAAATTTGGTGCTTCGTTTTGCATAGGTACGCACACGCACGAGTAGCTTGATTAACCGTAAATAGCTTATGACAAAAATGTCGATGCATAATATATCATAAATAGATATTAAAAATATGCCTCAAATAATAATTTAAAATGCATTTCTTTAAGTTTACAAGTTAACTGTATATTTTATGACGTGATCTCTTTCTTCGCTTTATCCAAAGAAAAATACATGTGCTCTATGGTCGTATGAAAAAAAATGTTAAAATAATACATTTTTTTATACTTTTAAATTAATCTTTTTTTGTACGAGTATACCTTCACGCTATAAACACGAAAATAAGGCAGGCAGACATACACACATCATGTATTTGCTCGGGTCAGCCACACCCGTGTGCGCGTGATAACATTATAATATATTAATATGAATGCATAATACACATATCATAGATCGCTGCAAACCCCCGTGTAACATTACGTATTATTATCTTCGTAATTATTATTAAATAGTTGCTTTGAGCGCTTGCGAAGACGTGGATAAGATTGTAAGTACGCGACTACCAGCTCGACGGCGGCGATCACACTATATGTGGATACTGGATAGGTACTCGCACGAGTTGTGCTGCCACCGGCGTGTATTCTACTGCAAAGCGATAATAATAATATTACTATTATTATTATTATTATTATTATAACACAATGCGATGCAGATAGTGCGCGCGAGATAAGAAGATCTGCAGCAGCGAAAGAAACTATTTAGAAAACTCACCGCCGACCGTACAACAATATAAATATAATAACGTATATATATATAATATATATATGTATAATATAGTGGCTGTTTGCGTGCTGGTACACGTGTTAAGTCGAGAACGGGCTTCGCATAATATAATATGTAGTATTTACCTATATATATATATAAATATAATATATACATTTATTTATCTTATATATGTATACATTATATGGGGTCAAATGTCACGCCGCGTGTTCCTCGCGCGCGTTCATTGTAGAATAATAGTAATACAGGTAATTTATCGATGTACGGTATATAGTAAATTGCTACGGCGTACAAATATGCACTATTATCGTGTATATACGCTACACGTGTACTTTTTATATAAAGACTTCTGTGTACGGCCGGAAGAAATAGAGTCGTTTTGCGCGAGGCGAACAATGGTCGTAGGCACTCGCGCGGGAAAGTCTTAGGACTGGACGCGGCTTAGCCCGTGGAACATATACACGACGGCGGCGGCGGCGCGAGTTTGCCTATATTATTATTCGCACAGTACCTATACGTACGATTTACAAAAATAATAATATTATACTAATAGACGCGATCGTCGTAAACGACATCCGACGGCTGCTTGCAGAGTATATTATTATCACTGCAGTATGGTCTGGTTACCGTCACGTCGTACAAGCGCGACGACGATGATACGTTTTCCGGCACCGGAACCAGCTATATACACCCCGCAGAGGGCCGAAAAACGTTTTTATTTTATTTTTTTTTCTCCTACTGCTCTCGTTTCCCCGAATCACACGTGCGTCCGACCTTTTAGCGTTGACAACCCGACCGCGATTTATCGTCTCGTTCAGAGAGGAGTCCAATTGCACGGCAGACAACCGATTATATTTTATGTGTACGCTCGTCTAAACATTTGGCGTTCCAGGTCAGCGTATCGTTTAGTCAGCCCGTGCAGTAAATATACATACATAGCTATATTATAAGATATCGCTTCAGTGTGCAACGACGTATGCGCAATGGCCGACAACAGTACCAGTATCCTTCCGCGAACCCGGCGTGGCAATATGGTCTCGGGCGGATGCGTTGAAGCATCGGGCAAGAAACATATTGAGCAAAAAAAAAAAAAAAATTTGACTCGGGGTACACACGTTTTTCTTCTTGATTTATACTCGTCCTCGGGGAGCCAGCCAACAACCCCCTATCTCACCACGTGTCCTTCGAAAGTCCCATACAACCGAAATGGGCGCGTTTAAATTACATTTTATTATATACGCGCGGCCGCAATGCGATCGGTGTGTCGAAATTTAAGTGTCTCGAACTAGCCGTTTTTGTACGTATTAGATTACCTATCTATGTAGGTCGCCTTCTGTTTTTTGAATCATTTCTGTTTTTGGAGAGTTGAACGCTCCGAGAAACGCGCGGTGACATCTCACAATTCACACACTATACACATAATATATTTTGTATACTACAAGTAGGTATACAAAGTCAAGTTTCGCGACTATACTTTTTTTTTCTAAATTAACGATCCGTGTAATGTGTGCATATTTCTGATAGCGTAACACAATAATAAAATGCAGCACAATCGTATGTAAATATCGAATATACATAGGTAAACACATGCGGTGTATATGAATTGTGCAGCATTATCGTATACATTTCATCATTTAATATATATAATATATACATATACATTTGTAAAATTGATATTTCCCAACGACGTTATTATTATAAATTATCATATAAACGACCAGTTAAGTAACTGTATACACTATATGTGTGTGTGTGTGTGTGTGTGTAGACCTAGTGTGTGTGTGTGTGTGTGTGTGT